GCGTTTGACGTTTAATCAAGGATAACTTTGATCTCCCTTAGGTTTATTGGAACCTCATTTCAGAAATCACGATTTATTGGTAAGCAGTTTTTTTTTTCTTTCAAAATATATGTTTAGACTTAATGATTTCTTTATTATGCTCAACACCCGAGTGATACTCATTGAGACGTAGTTGATTGATTGATTGATTGATGACCAGATCCATCTCTGGTTTATGTCCAAGCATGCCAGCGTTAGAGGAATTCAGGCAGATAGGAGAGGTAATTGGGAGTCTTAAAGCTTTAATGGTATTCCAAGATGACATACAAATAAATCAAAAACAATGTTGTTTGTTGGTGGATATGCTCAAATGTGCCTACAAGACAATTGCAGAAACAATGAAACAGAACTTGAGATTTGAAGAGAAGAATATTAAATGGAAAATTCTTGAGAACCCCTTAAGAGAGCTTCTCAGGGTGTTCAAAGAAGCAGAACAGTACATCAAGCAATCCCTGGAAAATAAGGATTTTTGGGCAAAAGCCATAGTTCTATATAAGAATACAGATTGTGTTGAATTTCATATCCACAATTTGCTCTCTTGTGTGCCAATTGTCATCGAGGCCATAGAAATAGCAGGAGAGATTTCAGGTAGTGACCATGACGAGATACAGAAGAAGAGATTCATTTACTCGATGAAGTATCAGAAAGAGTGTAAGGACCCACGAATCTTCCAATGGAAATTCGGAGAACAGTACATGGTTTCTCAGAAGTTCTGCGAAAGGGTATGCTCAGTTTGGAATGAAGACAAGTGGATTTTGCAAAATAAAATTCGAGAGAAGAAGAATTTAGGTGCATGTACTTTGACAAAGCATGAGAAACGACTTGCTGATCTCCTCTTGAAGAACTTAAATGAGATGGAGATGGAGAGTGATCATAAGCTTTCACCTAGCTCAGTTCTTGTAAATTCTAAGGATTACCAGGTAAGAAGACGATTAGGTAGTGGAAGTAAGTACAAGGAGATCCAATGGTTGGGGGAGACCTTCTGTTTAAGGCATTTGTTTGGGGATATTATGCCCCTGATTCCAGATATTTCGCAAGAACTGCATCTCTCTCATCCAAATATAATGCACATCTCCTGTGGCTTTACTGACGAAGAAAAGAGAGAATGTTTCTTAATCATGGAACTTATGAGCAAAGATTTATCTAGTTGCATCAAAGAGATCTGTGGACCAAGAAAGCGTGTACCGTTTTCTCTTCCTGTTGCAATCGATTTACTCCTTCAGATTGCAAGAGGCATGGAATACCTACACTCAAAGAAAATCTATCATGGTGAATTGAGTCCTTCCAACGTCCTTGTCAAGGCGAGGAACGTATCTACAGAAGGGTATTTACATGCAAAGGTTTGTGGATTTGGCTCATCTTGTTCTATCAACCTTCCTCAGAAAGCTAATGTGAATCAAAATAATGGGACGCTCCCATTCATTTGGTTTTCCCCAGAAGTCCTAGCTGAACAAGAGCAGTCGGGGAATGGAGGAAACATCAAGTATACTGAGAAATCTGATGTGTACAGTTTTGGGATGATATGTTTTGAGGTTTTAACAGGGAAAGTTCCATTTGAAGATAGTCATCTACAAGGAGATAAAATGAGTAGAAATATAAGGGCAGGAGAGAGGCCATTATTCCCATTTCACTCACCAAAATATGTGACTAGCTTGACAAAGAGGTGTTGGCATACTGATCCATATCAACGACCAAGTTTTTCATCCATCTGCAGGGTTCTACGCTATGTGAAGAGATTCTTGGTGATGAATCCTGAACACAGCCAACAAGACTCACCATTGCCACCAGTAGACTATGGCGAGATTGAAACTGTCATCTTAAGGAGCTTCCCCTTCTTAGGAAATTCTGAATCTGATCCCCTGCCTGTCACACAAATACCTTTCCACATGTTTGCATACAGGGTGACCGAGAAAGAAAAGTCAAGCACAATTCACAGAGACGTAAATTCTGAATCAGGAAGTGATGGAACTTCAGCATGTGGGGATGATCCTGTAACGGCAGATGATGCACTTCCATCACCAACCGAAAAGAAGAATATTGCATCTCCCGAGATTTTGACCAAGAGACTTTCAATTAGGAAACCTGCTGATATCAAAGTCGGCAAGCAACCAGGTAGCATTTCTTGGCTCAAAAGCTATATGGTGCAGCATTTTTGCCTACTTCTCCTTTTCCTAAAGACTACTTTTTACCTTGTTCCGAAATTTTAAAGAAAGTCGACTGCCTAACAGAACCTCAAGGACACCAGAAACAACAACAACAACATATACTCCTAATTTTATTGTTATTTGATCCTTACTGACAACTAATCCCCAAAGTAAGAGATAGATGTAAAGTAATCATGTTAAGAATTTATTTTCTCACAGTTAAAATGTGATCCTTTACATTGATATAAATCGAAATTAATGTTAGAATTCTTATCAATACCAATAATAGGAGAACCACGTCATCTGCTTGGACTATGTATCTATGAACTTAAGTCACAGAGTATTGCCAGAACAAGAAAGATTATAACTTATAAGAGAACACACTACAAACTGATGCAAGCCATACCTAGTGCAATGATTAGTCTACCGGCATCATGACTTCCCTTCTCATAATATATTTGTGCAAGCTACAAAAGAGGAGGAGAATGATTCTGATTGTGTAGTTTCCATATTGTTTTTATTGTCTAAACATCATAATGAGATCATTGTTTCAGGAACACCAAGGGGAAGGACGGTAAGACCTCCAAACACACGTACTATAAGGCAAAATTCTGAAAGTCAGTTAATGATGATGAACAGCCCAAGAACACGGAGATCATCTGGCCATGCATCAGATTCGGAGCTCCCTTAACTAATTTCCAAATGATCCAACATTTTATAAGACATTCTGTTCCAACCTGATCAACAAATAACATGGTTGCAGTCTCAGATACTCATGCTTGTTACTCGTTTTGTGTAATATATACCTCCCTAGAGTCTCATATTGGGAAGGGACTGTTCAGAACAGAAGCATTCAAAAGCTGAATAGCTCCTCATTTGTCAGACAAGATTTACAACCCTAAACAGTGTGAGATTTGAAAGGGTTATACGACACAACTTAGCTCCCTCATTCAGCTTGCAAAGATTATTGAGGAGCTATTTGTACAATTTTGGAGAAAAAGTTTCTTTTTTGTTTTGGAGAAAAAAAGTTCTTCCCAAAAAGATCTATTTGGACAGTTGTAGTTTTTGAAAGTTACAAGTACTTTGTGAGTGCAAGAGGGTGTTTTTTTTGGTTCAAAAAGTGTCATTGATGCCTCCTTAGACTCGGTGACTGATTCAAGATTTGAAGGTTATGGGTGCTCACTTCCTTAAACACGTAAAGTTGCTTGCCAAGAAGGGTTTCCTTCTAAAAACTTATTAATATTTTTATAGTTTAATTAGTAAATGAAATACTAAAAATAGAAAGATGAAAAAATAATAAATCGAAAAGAAAAAAAAAAAGCAAATAGCAGTAAATGGTACTTCAGTTTGCCTTTTTCCCAATTATAAAAGTACTTTGCCTCAATTAAAAAAGTAGGTGGTTTTACCCAGATTCGAATCAAACTTCAGTTTGAGAACCAACGCACCCATCAGACCTGTTGGTTGATGGGTGCTCACGAATAGAATATATCAATTTTTCAATATTTTATATATAGATATATAAAATTTCTGTCGAATTGCTACTCTATACTTGGGTCCGCCCTTGTCAATGGTTTGTTGTGCCCTCCATTTGTTTTCTATCAAAGGGAACGAAAATGGCACGATCATATTAGCTATCCTAAGGTGCATAAAGAAGAAATCAACCTAAACATCATTTTGCATAGAAAGGTCGTAGAACAAAAAAGGTCTACAGACGCATTGTTTTCCCCTTTATCCTTTACCTCCTTTTTTTATTTTCTGAGGATGTGTGGTAGGGGCAAGGGAAAAGTCCACACTAAGCTCACTAGATTATATGTCAATGGATGTAGTTGGAGAAGCTAAATATTAAGATTATAAAGTGATATAGAAGCAATAGTAAAGGTTACCTTGTCATGAGTTGAGAGAATTGGCCACAGCCCCTATATAGGAAATTCTTTCTGAGCTTGAGTATTTTTTTTTAATTTTTTTTTTTTAAACCCTTGCTAAAAACTCCCACTCCTTTTGCTCTGTTGGTAACTTGAACTCTCAACCTTCGAATGCTTATCATCCGAACAACTCTCTTGTCCTGAGCTTGAGTATCAAGAATATCAGGAGGTCTGATTTGTGGTAGATTGAGGAAGGTGGGAGAGAGAGGAAAAATTGGGAAGAAGTAGCGTGATAAACACGGTAGAGTAATTTTAGGCTAAAAATAAGGAAGGTGGGGCCTGTTTAAGGGATTCGCACCAGACCCATTTAAGGGGCAATCAATCATATAGCGGGCAGTGGTTATCAGAAATTTCTCTATTCCCCAGACTAGGATTAAAGACCAAAAAATTGCCCTACTTCACTCTCTTTCATCTCTTTCTTTGTTTTTTGTGTTCAAGCTAGCTACTGGGTTTCGTGGTATCCAAGTCGCATCTTCTTACGACAAGTTTCAGAAACAGGTACACAAATACTCTTCAATTATTATGCAATCCAACTGATTTATCCCCTACAAAATCATGAAATTGTCCATCGAATTATGCAAGAAAATAAAATACTACTTAGATTGAAAGGTTAACTTAACCCCCTATCTATTACCCAAACATTTGCCTATTATACAGCAATTTCTGGTTATGTAAAAAGGGGTGGATGGTTGAAACCATATATTAGCACCCACTGATTGCACTCCATCCTTTTTCATATCAAATTTTCCAAACACACACACAACAAGGTAAAAAAATGACTATACAAGTTTGTTTATTTTCTTTCTGATGATATATTCAATTATTATGGTTATTAATGTATTATCATTCTACTTTTTTTTTCTTGCAGTTATAGTTACAAAATTAGAATACAGAAATGGCTGAATCTGCCACAACCAAGGGAGTGGAATTAGAAGAACATTTGGCGGATACAGATGAAGAAGACAATGGCGATGAAAATTCAAGGACAATGTTTCTTAAAGAGCTAAATCTCATTCTAATTCTCTCATTTCTTTCGTTATCATCTGAACAAGTTGATTTTGATGCAACTGAGACCAATGAAAATGTCAAAGCTAACCAAGAACACAAAGTTGTTTCTGATTCACGTTTCAGAAAACTGGGTGGAATCAATAAATACAGGGCTAGTGAACCAGAAACTCAGAGATTCTCGACCAAGTTTAGAGATTGCAGGTAAAAAAAAATTGTAATTATCATTTGGAGATCAAATTTTCGGTATCTTTTTGGACAAAATTAATACTACTTGATTATGTGTTAATATTATAAAGTTCATCTTCTTCTATTGCTTCCTTTTCATTCAGGCATTGTCGAAAAATGTGAAAGAAATCAACATCCACCAAAGCTAGTAACAAGAGATGTTACCAAAAGGTTTCCAGCATGGCCATAGAAGCTATCCCCATAGTCCTTGACTCCCCCTCCCTTCTTCAAATAAACATACACGTAAAAGAGCAAATACAGCTCTTGTTTTTTCTTTTCATCTGCTTCTGCTATCATGTATATTAATACAGTAAAATGCTCCTTATCAAAAAGTTCTTCATTATCAAGCTCAAAACCTTTCACCCATTACACATAACAAACACCCACCTACTTTGCAAGGTAGTAACATGTTAGCTCTTCTGCAGATAAAGCATCTCAAAAGACAGTATACATCATAGCAACCACAATTGTATAAAAAACATTCACGATACATTAAACAGAACATCGAAAAATGGCATTACAGAAATGACTTACTAAAGAATACATCTGATCATGAGAGTGAGTACCCTTCTTCTTACCTAATCTGTTCAACTTTTCCCAAAGGAAAAAAAAAAGGTGAAAACTGGTAGACACCAGAAAAATTAGGCCACAAGTGCAACGGAGACCAGGATTACCAAAGGCAACCAGCAATCATCATTACACTATTCTTGTAGAATTTGCTTATTGACAATTGAATAAGCAATAAACAGATACATAAGGAAATTATAAGCACACTAGAAAATCCTAAATTTGTCGTCACAAGCTAGAACAAAAGCGTAAATTCTCTGTTTAGACGGTGTAACCCGCCATGTTATTATCACTCTATCTATCCTTGTCTGCAAAATTATCATATGCAGGGAAAAACGATTGGAGCTTGTCTTCATCAGTCAGATATCCTGATCTCAACTCCCAATAGGTCCTTCACTTGCTCATATGTCACAAAAGCAATAGCTATTGAAGGGACGACCTGAACAAATGATGAACAGTTATGAATGATCCAGTAATATACTATAAAAGGGAATTAATCATAGTAACTCAGTCAACCAATTATTAGTCAAAAAAGTTCATCATAAAGAAGATACTTTACAGTTTCGTGTTTTACAAGCAGCTCAGTAATATTGCCAAAAGTAATTGAAAGAGTCTTCAAGCTTGTGAAGTGAACTTTTGACTGTGCACAGACCAAATATTTCACAACTCAAATGGAGATTATGATACTGCAGAGATCTCCTCCAGAAATACCATTACATATTACGTCGGCTGGTCCAATTAGTCCCAAGAAGAAACACAAGCTCTATTTAGCATGACTAGCTAAAAATTTGGACAATATACTGAGAGTGTCGGATATTGGAGACCAACAAGGCAACAACTAACTTTTACTATCAATTAAGGAAATGTAATTAGAGGTTTTGATAAGTTAAAGTGGATGCAATCCACTCTGTAACATATAATGAAAAGGTAATGTGTAACCAAGATCAAGAGTTTCCTATTTAAACAAAATTGGCACAAAAGGGAAGCCAATTCTATGAGCCTCAATAAGAGAAATTAATAAACTTCAACCAAGTCTCAATTAAAAAACACCTAAAGGTACAAGGTGTTGAGACAAGACTAACCTTCACTGAATTAGGCACCAAACCTTTGTACAAGGCGCTGAAGCCCTCATACCTCACAGTTTTCCTGAAAGTATCAATCATACCAGAATATTCAAGGGAGGCCTTGCTCCTCCCATCACCAGTAACAATGGATGCAGCATCTTTCCAACCCACCATCTGCATCCTTCTGCGTACAACGTCAAGAGGGTAAGCAACAGTTTGCCCCAAAGTCCCTGCCACAGCCCCACATGCCAGCCTTGTAACAACACCAAGCTCAGTAGAATCATCAACTAGACCAAGTGGTTTTGTTTTGACCAACCATTCTTTTAGAGATTCGTAAACTGCAAAGTTAAGTCCCACATATGGAATCTGCAAACAACAATTAAGTTATGAACTGTCACAAGAATCAGAAGAACCAGATGGTTTGAGCATGATTATCAATTTAGTAAACAACCGTTTCCTTATAAATTAGGGAAAGGAAAACTTACAACTCCTATGACAGAAGGAAGCCATCCTTTATACAAAGCACGTGGACCTTCCTCACGGAGTATGGTGGATAGGGCATGGACCATTCCTCTGTATTGATAAGGAGATTTCTCTGTCTGCAAAGCAGGAAAGAGGATTTTCAAGAAAGGTGTTGCAGCACGGTGCTCCATAGTCATTCACTCATTCCACGGTATGCAGAACATCAGAACAGGTAATATTTCTTCTAAGAACTCATAAAATACCTGCACAGTAATTCTTCCCCGCACCATGTCCATTGGGTAAGTTGCAGACATGGCAATTATGCCAGCACAAGCTCCAGCTCCAAGACGTAGTAAGGGAGTGAGCTGAGCATCCTCTGTGGAAAAAGGAAGATGACAGTTTAAATGATGACAAATTCTGGGGAATATCTTTCTGTTCCTTTTACATTATATTCAGGCTACTAGCATAGTATGACTTCTTATGTGCACAAACGACCAGAAAAATCATCAGACAATCTTCCTTAATTTAACACATTAAAAAGAGCTTTATCAGATGCTCTTTTGCTTACCAAATTAAATGAGCATGGTAGGTGCCGAATAAGTTAGAAAGTAAATGCTGAAAATATGGGGCATAAATATGTTTGTGAGCTTTGGCAATCAGTCAAGCTGTTTGCCAAGGACGACTTAAATGCCAAAATTATGTGTAGATAAATTTCGTCCGACAACAACAACAACATACCCAGTGAAATCCCACTAAGTGGGGGTCTGGGAGGGTAAAGTGTATGCAGACCTTACCACTACCTCGAGGTAGAAAAGTTGTTTCCAAAAGATCCTCGGCAGATAAATTTCGACTGACACTACTAGAAAATCCAGTAGCGATCAGACGACCACAAGAAGCATATGGCAGAAAAAGTGACCTGCTTTGAAGGAGAAAAATTCTTATCTGTCTTTAAAACCTTATGTTGGCAACTGAAGTTATGGATAGATCAGGATGAGGATGCATACATTCTAACCTAAATCCAGATTTGCCCTGAAATATGAAAATTTTCAGGTTTATTTTTGCTGCCTCAGCTGATGTTTTGATTTGATTACCAATGTCTTGGACCGCATGTGTTATGGGGTAAAATTTCTACCTAAATACAAATTTGCCCTGAAATATGAAAATTTTGAGGTTTACTTTTTGTTGACCCAGCTGATGTTTTGACTTGATTACCAAGTCTTGGACCATAAGTGTTGTGGGGTAAAATTTCTTACTTTTGAATACAGTGGTCGAATGAGACATTAATATAAGGCCTGTTGCAAAGGTAAACTATACTGGTAAGCTGAAGCACGAGAAATAGAAGGATCCTAGAACAGAAATAAGCTCACTTAAGAAAAGTGGAGGGGAAGAATCTTTATGGACGATCGGGCATAACCAATATTTACTTCCTCTTCTTTTTTTTAAATCTTAATAATTATATCTTATTTGAAATGCCTGAAAAGACGTCAGTACAAGCATAACTGAAAGACAATCTGGAAAAAAAAAATGTGTCTTCCAAAAGGGTCATCCACTATAAGGAAAAGAAAATATTGGCGAGTATATCGCCATTACCCACAGCTTTGGTCCCTCAATCCAGGGTTTGGAAGAGTTGAACTGGGTATAAACCTAACCTCCGGCTCATTTTGCACAAAGTGGCTGCCCGCAACTAGAACTCGCATTTGCGCACTAGAACAGATTGAGCCTTTACCACCCACCAAGTCATGGCCCTTGCTAGACAACATAATAAGCAGACATAGTGACAAGGAGAAGGAGAGTACAGATATATCCCATTGCTAAATCAAACATAGCATCTGTAAACATAAGAGTTTCTTTTTTACATGACTAAGCACCAAATACATTAGCAGGAAATGAACTAGAACTAGAAGTAGCGTGAACGGAAAAGGTAGAACTTAAAAACATATATAAGCTCATACTTAATCTCCACAAACAACAGCACAATGAATCGTAGTAACGTAACATGCAGTAGGAACACACTCCTTTTAAGTTTTATAGAGATAGTAGAAAAAAAACTGTGCTTAAAGTTTTCTACATATCTGATGAAGACTGCTTAAAATTTTAAACAGAGTAGGAAAAGAATTGTGCTTAAAGTTTTATAGATATTTCTTCCAATGGTTGGATTCATATATGAAATCTCATAGTCCATCCACAAGGAAATCATTGGAGGATTCCAAAGTGGTGAAATCAAAAACAAAAACATATGACAACTAAATAACCCAAAAGAAAGATAAACATACCATTGCCAGTTTGTTGCTGGTAAAGATATAGTATACCCCTGTTTCAATATCAATGAAGAAGTCAATAGAGGGAACAAATACCAGATATTTGATTTTAAGGGAACATGAGAAGCAAGTCTGAGTTGCAAAAAAATGCATAGTGTCAGATATGACTATACTTGGAAGCTTGCTCATAGCTGAAGAACTTGACTGCTGAGTTTGGGACGATACGTGCACAATTGGTGCCATTGCCCTTGAACAGTCCTTTGAACCCCTCAGTTCTCCAGATATATTTTAAGCCTGAAATGGTCCCATTGTATTTTATGCTATGTGAATTTTGAACCTGCACTCGAGACAGATCCTGTTAAAAGTAGGAAACAAACTAGTCTAGATGGAACTACCCTTAAATGCAATCTAAATGTATGCTTCATACAAAAGATTAGGCTCCTTCAAAGATAAAGCATGTCAGAGAAAAAGTTTACTATCCTAAACTTCAAAAGGAACAAAAGTTGATCCACTGATTACAAATTAAAGTATGGGTTAAAGTGCTCCAACACTCAAATTAAGTATGAAATGCTTGAAGTCAGTTTTGTATTTTTCCTCCTTCCATAGAACTGTTGAAATAGCACAGAAACAGCAGGTATGAAACTACACTTCACCTGGAGCAATATCTTTAGCCGTTCCAGTGGGGCCACAGCAGTTCGTGACCTGCAGGATAAGGAGACCAGTAGTAAGTGCGGAATCAAGTCAAAATTAAGGGGAAATAGAATTTGTTCAAGCATTCATAATATCACATGGAACTCATGTACAGAAATATCAGGTCCAGCACAAATAAGATTTTGCTAAATAATATGCACCAGACAACCTCGCCAGATCTCTCAAACCTTGAGATGCATGTTTCTGGTGAAAGAGTCAGCATTTTCTAAAGAGGCTGAGAATGGGATTCACAGGTTCTGAAAGCTTATGCGTGTTGAAAGCATATTAATACAGAAATATAAGTGAAATCCAATTCTTTCCACCTTTGTTTGTCTCAAGAACTTTGACTTATTTTCTTCAATGCAAAACTTCCTTCATGCAATTCAAACTAGCAGACGCTATTACTACCTCCGTGTCAATTCACATGGCAATCTTTCTATTTTGGACATCCCAGAATATTTCATCTCATAACAAAAATAATATTAGTATCTTATACAACTTTCACGCTCATAGAATTCAAGCACATTTAACAAATTATGCAATTTACACTTTGAAGCAATGTTACCTCCATCAAACTAATTTTCAACTGTTATTTAAAACATTGTAACCTGTAAAATGATGTCATATCATATGGATGGAGGGATGATTACTTAACATTATAAATTTGATGTTGATGTGATTACTTAACCCCTTGTTTTTTATGTTTCAAACTATTACCTTAACTTCTCTCTCAAACTCAAAACAATAATTTATCCAGAAATTTACTCTTAATATCCATACGGGACAACAAGATCCATGATTTATCTATTGAACAATGGGGTGTAGATAGAGTTGACAGTCACCACTCCCGGAAGTATAAACCACACAGTTCAGTCATCCAAGTTAAGAGCACATATACACAACAATCACATCAAAGTCTTTGTTTGAGATAAGCAGAGTGAAAACTTATGCTGGAACATGCAAGGCACTTTTGCACATGTCCGTCATAAAAGGAAAACAAAAAATCCATTACAATCAAATCATGTGATCAAGTAATCGAATACGGAATAACAGTCATGAACACCTCATTTACTAATGGAATACTATAGCTTTGCAAATCTTACACCAAAAGTATAAATACAGATGATATTTTGTGCAGTTCTTTGGAAAGTCAACATGGGTATTAGACAAAAAGCTCAATTTTTATGAACAACGGCACCTTTGAAACCACCACTTGCCTCCTTTTCTCTTTCCAGTTGACTCAATTATAAGGAAATCTAACTTTTTATTTCACTTTCAAGGGGGGGGGAAGAGACGGTGGGGTGGGTGGGGGAAGTATACAACCCTCAGCTGAGTCCATCAAATTTACACATTTTCGCTCATGTTATTTATCAGGTGAATTAATGTTGTAAAATGTATTTAATTCACAATGTCTCATAAAGGAGAAGATTCAATTATGTAGTATAACTTACACGCCTCCGGCGACACCTCCAGCTACGAGTGACTTGCAGATACTGATAACAGCATGGCTTGTAGGCCTGATTTCTTGTCTAGCTAACTTCGCCTCTTCCGCGAGACTCACAATTTTCTCCACCGCTGATTCGCTCGCCTTCACATCCTCAGAAGCCATATAAGATCGAGATCGCCTAGATTATAGCTCAACCTGATACGAATCCTTAGATTTTGAACACTCTGTCAATGTATACTCAGTTCAAAACCAGAGGACCGATCGGAATATGGACGAGCTAAGGGGGGAATGTAAATTTCCCGGTGACAGTATACTGAATCGCGGTGGTTTGTGGCGGCGGCGGCGTAAATGAACAGAGATCGATGAAAATGCAGCAGGGAAGTGAACGTGCAGTATCAGAGTTAAGCGACGGCGTTCGTACAAGTGAGCTCTCATTTTAATTAAGTATTTTCTTTATATAAGAAATTATTTTAGTTTCTTCATTTTAATTTATTGATTATCTTACTTACATTTTTTATGTAATTTAATTGTAATTATTATGTGATCTCTCAACAAATCTTCAAATTAACTTTAATTAATGAAATATTGGGAGATTCTCACTTTTCAAGGTTGTTGAACACCTGGTGGGCCCGAGCGACAATTTCAACCACTAAATGAAAGAGTGGGTAGTTGGTCCTTATGTTCTTCTGATTTCAATGGGTTATAGTTCAACGGTGAGATTATTTCTTTTTTAATTATAAATTTTGTATTCAAACGTTGAATATGGAGAAAATCATGTTGAAATCGTCACTCTCAATTGAATACTGAATTCTGCATTACACAATTTGAATTTAATCAAAAATTCAATGTGAGTGGACTCAAAAAAACCCGAAATACAAAAGTGTCAATTACGAGAAGCCCTATATAACCACAAATATATGATTCGAAAATATATGAGATCTCAAAAGATAGTAGTACTTAAAAGATTGTGGTTAGGAAAGAAGGGAAAAGAGTGGCTATCCATCCTTCGAAGTTCGAAAAATTAAAATAAATCGTAATATGAAATAACTGTAGTTTTCTTGAACTATACTCTATTTATTCATTAAAAGAACGAAATAGTATTGTTTTGGAAGTTTTTCAATTTATTGTTTATGAAAACAATCTTTCAACAATTTTAAAAATATTATTTATAAATAGTTGTGATCTGTAGTAAAATTTATATGTTTTTACTTACAATTCTTACTTTAAAATATAAAATTAATGTCAAATTCACGTCAAAAATGAACTCATATATTGTATTTTTTATTTTGAACATTAGCATGAGATTGTAACCATGATGTTCTTATCCTTCCAAAAGACCCAAAAAAATAAATTTAAAAAAGTTATATGTTGCAGCAGGTAAGAGTGTCATTGTCATTTTCCTTAGTAGGCATTTGAACATACAATTTCAAATCGTGATATGAAATTATGAGATGAAATCAACATCTGGATATGTGATTTCATGCTGATTTTATCTCATGATATGATATAATGAGATGAAATTTCAAATTCTCCAAAAAAAAAAAGAAGAAGCATAATTTAGGAATTCAATCATGATTTGAGATTTTCAAATATAAAAATTAACCCACAAGTTTATATTTTGTTAAAAAAAAAACCTATATTTATATCTACTGATTGTTTATTTCACAATTAAAAAAATTTATAATTCATATCATTACTTTTAAAATCATTTATTTCTCATCTAACAATTATTTTCACCAATATATATAAAATTTATTATTACATCAAATCTATTCTTATTTACCATTTATATTCACCAATATCCAAATTCGTTATTTTTAACAAATTTATTTACCAACAAGTGACTCAAAATAACAATATCGGTTCGTCTTCTCGATCATATGATCGAGAAATGCAAGTTCAACGTGAAGATTTTGTTCGTACTATGTGGGAGGATTATATTAAAGACTAGTACTCTACAACTTATGTTCACTCTTATTTTTTTTATTTATTGAATTTAAAGTTTGATGAATACATATTGTATTTTTTTAGAATAACTTTGTGGTAGTATATCGTGCAATTTTATAAATTTTTGTTTGTTTAGTAATATTGTATGAAGAATTTGACACAATTTTAATAGTTTTGCAACTTATGAGTGCTTTAAGTTTATGAGAAGACATACAACATAAAAGTCCAGATCGTATGTCCAAACAAAACTTCAACTCCATCTCATGATGTCATATTAAAATTTTATATCATGATTTCATGTCGCATGGTCAAATGAGCCTTTAGTAAAAAAAAATTATGTAGTTGATCAGAAATGTATTGACTTGATTTTTTTTAACAATCGTTTCTATCATATTCCATGACACGATCAAAAGAAAGAAATATAAGGTGATGATGCACATGGCCATTACTTTAAAGAAATATAAAGTGGTGATGCTCATGACATTTCAAAATAATGTTTAAGATATATTATATAAATATGATAATGCTTAGACATCAAAATGAGATCCTAATAAAAATATACGAAGCACGTATATATGATTCTAGTCTATTCTTTGAAAAGAATAAGACTTGTCATTAGCATGTCGAAGATTCGGCATTCTTGAAAATAAATGTGTCGATATTTGAATGTATTATATTCACAAAAATATTAAATGTCGATTAAATAGAAGGAATTAACACAAATAGACAACTGCTACATACAATTGACAACATTTAGCCCAATATTAATTAGCTATTAATAAATAAATAAAAACTAGCACATATTAGCCAAAAATAATAGACGTCATTTTTAATTTTTTTAAATAGTAAAAAATATTTAATATCATCTTTCCTCTAACTTCCAACCATTTCTCCTTGAAATTCTCCTTTCAATTTATTATTTTTTAAAATAATAAAAGAAATTTAATACAATCTCTTCTAACTTTCAAGTATTTCCACTTAAAACTAGAAAAATATTATTTAGAATAATCTCTCTCCTTGAAATTTCCTACAAAACCATTATCCACAAACTATTTCCCCCTTAAACTCAATCCATATTCACTAACAAATTTGTATACATTGATCGGCATTTATCTAATAGATTGGTATACATTTGTATTACATACATTAGTCTGGATTCGTAATAAATTGATAAACATTTGTTTGCATTAATATATTTCAAATTTTACACATGTATACATTTGTTATGGATATATATATTCATTGGTGTTCATTAATAAATTGATATACATTTATTTGTATTAGAATATTTCTAATTTTACATAGTATACATTTGTGCATTACTATTTTGGAGTGAAGTCAACGAAATTCATTAACAAATTTAAATAATTTCACATTGTTATATGTTACGAAAGATGAATTTAAATTGGTAACAATGGATAAACAAATAATTTATTAGATATGCATACATAAAGCAAATTTAGGAATATAAGAGAAAATTTAGGAGAAGAACAAATTTAAACATATGAAAGATTTAAGAAAGAGAAAAAAGGAAACCTCAACTTATTACCGTTGAGAAACCACCCACAAGGAAAGAGAAGGAAAAGAAGCAACAAAGGAATCGAATTTAGAGAGAGAAAAATATTAGAAAAGTAGTTCCACTTTTTTAGAAAACAAAACGGGCTAATTCTTGTAAAAAATAAATATTAAAAAATGTTTTAATGTCAAAAAATAAAAGAGGACTATTTAATGCCAATTTAGTAAAGATTGTCATGAGGTGTAAATTTTTACTAAACAGTTCTAATGGGCTCCAAATTTCCAGTTTTTGCATGTAAGCCCATATATAAGCCTGGAGTTGGAGTGGCCCAAGGAAAGCAATAGGCTTTAAAAATGACATTTAATTGAACGATTTGTCCTTCAAATGAGCTGAATTTAATTTTTTTTCCTTAGCAGCCAATCTTTTATCTAGCAAGGCAAAAGTTCTTTAATGTCATGTATATGTAAAACATAACTTGTGGGATATTATAATGACGTCCTTGCGGAGCAAAAATAAAAAACCAACCCAAAACAGAGGCAAAAGTTCTTCAAATGGTGAAGGCACTAGGTTTCTTCTTTTTAAACCATGTTTTGGAATTTTTAAGATTACAGGAACCAAAGTTTATAAGTGTAAGTTGAAACTTGAGTTGATCATCCCGGAGTCTATGATTTATTTAGGCCCATTCGACTTATCAGTCTATGATGGACTGGCCCATATGAATATTTGGGCTTTATAATACACTATGGCAACAGAGCAGCAAAAGCCCAAATTAATTGTGCTTATAACTAATGGTTTATATATTGAGAAAATGGTAATATATGTAATTGCTTGAAAGTATTGGTAGGATTAATATATATGATAGTGATGACTGATGTATATCTAATAAGGTAGTTTTCCTAAAAAAAATAAAATTAATCTAAATAGGAGTCAAACTGCATGAATTTTGACCAATATTTTAAGATATGTTTTTTAAATCATATAACAATGAGAAAAAATATAACTTAGTAGTATACAATTTTAAAACATCTAAATTTTAAATATTAAATTAATTTAATTCAATTTATTTGAAATATGGATAAGTAAAAATGAACAGAACGTCTAACCAAAAGAACCCCATTTATTTGTATTTATGATAACGACGTTATCCAAAAAAATTGGGCTCTTTTAATTTTGCTTTTATGGCATTTAAGAGATGGGGAAATTGAGTGAAAGTAACCAGGTGTATGTATTTGGAATTTTGGAGTATGGGCCACTTTGAAAGATTTTCAGGATCTTGTTTGAGTTTTAAGCAGATGTGTAAACAACAAAGATCGATGGTTGGTTAGGAGCACCATCTCCGAATTGAATTTTGTAGTGCGCAATTTAAATTTAATTGGAATTTTAATATGAGCTCCAAACACCAATTGAATTTTTTTTTGACGGGTTCCAATATAAAATATAGTTAGATATTTGGGTATATATTCAAGACCAAAATAATAATGTTGTTGCAGAGCTTATGATGAAGGGAATCTCTGGAGAAAATTATTTTTCAATTTTCTCATAAAAAATATCTTTTAAGAAAATAAGTTGTTTAACAATAAGGAAAATATTTTTTTCTAGTAGGAGTTGCAAGATGGTAGTTTTTTTTTTTCTCGTCATGCATTTTCTTTAATCTAATATTATATAACATTTCAAACAAATAAATTTTTACTGTAACGATAATTAAGTAGGACCTAAGTGGTGTGATAGCTTCAGTTCTTCTAGAAGAAGTGTAACATGACATTTGTTAAAGTGGAACAACCACTTTCAATAGTTTTTTTTTTTTGGTTTTCACTCGGTATTTAATCTTTGATATCCGCAATGGAGCTCAATTATTTTTGCAGGACCACATTCAGGATAAGTGCTTTCTACCAAAGATTTTTCCATATCCAAAATTCGAACCCAATACATCTGATTAAGGAAGGAGCTATCTCATCCAT